TAATGCATACATCTTCTGCACAAACTTATTTTTCAGCAACTATCATTATTATTATAAGATTATAATACTCAGGGTGAACTTATACATGCAAGTATTTTATTATTAAAGTATGGTCATTATTTTTGATGACCTACTGCGTTTATTAGATAATGCAGTGATTTGTCACATTAAAGCAATTATTAGATAATATCTGAAAGACTAGACTTTAGATACCTATATACTGTGTGCAAGTAGCATAGCCATTCTAAGAAAGCGCAAACATCACTCCACATATAGAATTCAAATAAACTAAATAGATGAAATATATCATGGGTTCAACACAGAATTCCAGATTATGTGTATGTGATAATTAGTAGATTAGTTGAAGGTGAAATCAAATATTTTTTCAAATATTATATAACAACCAAAAGTTGCTAATGAGTTAGAATACTATCTGCAACTTATAATCTGGAGAGAATACCTAAATGTTCAAGTTATATAAGAGTTTTGATCATCCATTTTATTGAAGGACTTAGCTAGAGAAAAATGGTTGCACAAGATCCAAACTTAAATTTGCATTTTAATAAGTGATTAGCACAATACTTAAACAATTCGAAATGTAATTTAAATAAGAAGTTTTAACATGCTCTGAAATCACTTCGACATAAGTAATTTACCTCAATCACAATATCTATTTAAAACGCAAATTTGACTGTATTCTGCATGATTTTAAGCATCTACCAAATAGATAGTGACAAAGGTTATTATATAGTTATTAATAACTATTGGTGTTTGGGCATTTATAAGAACTCCTTAACAGTTATAAAGGAAGCATGTTATATTGATACCATGCAATATTGTAAAACACTCATAGCAGGGGCAGAAAGATGTCACTATTGTATATGACCTTTAACTTATGAGTTAAAACTTAATAATTATATGAAATGTGAGTTAGAAATAGATGGAGTTCTATGAAGGTACGGTCCAACACAATAAATCGGATCAATTTTGATTACCAACTTGTGCAATTCATCAAATGATTATATCTTATTGAAATGTGAAGATAAAAATAAATAACCTATTATTGGGGATGAGTTAGCAATAGGCATTATAATTTAACAAGTAGTGGTGATGCACAAAGAATATATATTACACAATTTAATTCATGGATGAAAATGTAATTTTCCTAAACACTATCAAATGGAAAAAAGTTTTCTACAAGTGGTAAAAAAGAAAGTAAGGTTATTACATAAGATGACTATACTTCTTTTGAATAAGCTGTGCAAGTTAAAGGAATCTAAAGTTAAAATAAAGCAGAGATGGTAAGGCAATGTTTTCCATTTTATAATAGATCCAGTCCAAGCACATTAAGCTCATAATTTATTAGCATTTATCTTATTAGGTGATCTTAAAGATCTATAAATTCAGTGCTTTGAGTAGGATCATTGTTGTGATTTCAAGAAAAAAATATCCAAGCTATGGCTACGCATTAAACTTATTTAGGATGTGTTTAAATCCAAGAAAGTGATGTCCTAGATTATAAAATCATCATATATCTCCTTATATATTGGATTTTACGAAAAGTGAATTACAATCAAGGAAACGAGGTGAGTGTAAAATTTGTGATTAGTTAAGACTTAAGCCATATTTAAAACTATGAAGAACGGTTCTAATATTTTACCAAGTGCAAGTCCCACCCTTTGAAAATGTATGTTTGAATTAATGTCTTAGTTTGAGAGCTATCTTTGATAACAAGAAACACGGCCGCATAAAAGAGATGATAAATAGGAGCCTAAAATGTAAAAAATAAGTCGTCCTAAATAATATGTTGAGGAATTATTTGGCACTGGTAAAAAGTAGAATCTAATTGTTGAATTATAGTATAATTTTAAATAACGTATTTAAGATCTTATTCTTAATCTAATTATACTTATGGATTTTGCACGAATATCAGATTTAAGATACACATGCATCAAGCAATTGTCGTTAAGAGCTCGAATTGTAAATGTGTCAGAATACTACTTCAAATTAAGAGTTAAAGGATAATGCCTACGAATATTGGTAAGAATACTATATCAGTGTTGTGAAATCATTGTGTGTAATTAACAGTAGCATTAATATTAATAAGATAGTTAAGCTAAGATATGCTGAGCATTCTTTCCAAAGATATAATATAAAGGAGAACAACAAGGTTGGAATTTCTGCTATGACTATTGTTTGAAGCGAAGCAAATCTCACAATTTAAAGTTGAAGTTTAGGATGAGGTAGTTATTTTTATAAATGCAACATAGGTGTAAATTTTTATTTTTTTGCCATTAAATATATGCATAGCAATTATTATGTATATTACAAGTTTAGTTACAACTGCTAAAGGGAATAAATGCATAATGGAAGGCAAATATTTAATATTTGAAACAAAAACCAATAAAAGTATAATATGTAGTATACTTATTTAAAACAGATAAGAAGTCAAACATAAAGTAAAATTAATCTGTTAAGAAGGGAGTTGTGTATTCACCAATTGCAAGGCACTTCTAATGGTTAACAGCTGCAAATAGAATCAGTTACTATATCATAAAAATTCAACAGAAGGCAACCTTAACTTCAAGAGTGATTAAAAGAAATATCTTCATATGTAAGATTAAAGTATATTGTTCATTTACTTATATAATCAATGCAAGCAGCACCGAACCGTTACCAAAATCAAATTATCTACATAATATCTCTGGTAAACTTAAAAAAGGCGTAAATTTAACCATAGATATGCACGTTACACTTACCTAATAGTGTATATTTGGATGAAAACTCTATAGCCTATAAGTTGCATAATGCTACCAGCAAATGAATCTTTTGTATGAAATGATATTAAAGAATGCCTAAACATTCCATCTAATTACACAATCCAGCCATATAGCTATTTCTGGATCAGGCTACTAATAACTTTCCTATTGCATGATTTAATGACTGCTAATGCTACTTGGAGTTTTAAATATTTTTTATCAATCAACTTCATTGCTAGAGCCAAATTTGAAAAACAGATTCTAAACACTAGATACTTTCATTCAATATTTAAAAATGTGATCAAGCTTTTTCAACAAATTGCATTGTTGGATGCTCCTTCAAAATCTTCCGTCAACTAATAAATTTGAACTTCCTGCAATAAGATTAAAGCTGGAGGAATATTTTATAGAATCCATTAAAATAAAAATAAAATTCGCTGCCAAAATAAAACATATATAATAGATACATGTTATTAGTAATCAGAGTTGAATATACATTCTGAACAGCACTAAAAATATCAGATAGTATAGCATTAGTTGTGCCAAGAATCTAACAGCACTAGCACTTTATTTGAGAAGGCATTAGGACTCACGATACTTTCAAAGAAGTTCAAGTTTTAAAACTCCAAATTGTACCTTAGCACATAATGAAAATTAATAAACTCTTACAAGTATTAGCTTTGGCAGCAGCTAATGCTGGGGATTAAATGGGTTTAGAAGCTCAATTTAATCAAATCGGTAATTCGTAATTATTTCATTTAATTGAGGGCTGATTGCTAAGATTTCAATCACCAATTATGATAATATACAACTCGAAGTTCTTATAACTAAAAAAAAAATGATTACAATTTAAAAAATATCACTTCTAAATTTCTTTCAACATCTATTTTTACAATTTTCAAAATTTAATATTCCTTTTCCCTTTCAAAATTAGAATTACATTATTTACAACTATTCTATTGTTTTTTAGCCGTTACGTTTTTCTGCCATCCCAAAAAAAATCCATACCTAATTTTTTAAGTCCTATTAAAATTTGATATTATATAAACTATTAAAATATACGTAAATAATTAATATCTATAGATACTTGACTATTGAAACTACTATGAAGATCGCACCTCGTTTCGCTCTCTGTAACTAACTAAATTTACTGAAAAATAGCAAAAATAACTCCAAAAACAGTCCTAAAAACTCAATTAATCTGACAATTGAAACAACAATTTATATCGTGCCCTCGCGTTAATTAACTGATTAAATCCTATTTTATCTCTATCTAAAATCTCTTTATTCTACATAGTTTACACCCCTCTTTTTCATCCTTTCATCATTCTCTATCCATTTTTATTTGGAAACAAATTAACCCTGGTTTTGATGCAAGCTTTTATCTCCTGAAATCAAGCAAGAAACTAGAAGGCCCTTCGTAATATAACCCGCTTAACGGCTTGAACGGAAAGGAAAGGCTAGAAGATTCAGGTCAGCACCCTAGCAACAGGCAAAACGAGTCAGCAAATTAATTGGGCTTCCGCGATGGACTATCTAGGGTAGCTTCTAATCCAGTGGCCTTCTAGTCTAGCAATAGGCAGAAAGACTCAAGCAAAACATGAGGCGTTCACACCGCAACTGCAGGACGGAGGTCTACGGTTGAAGATTGGGCAAACATAAATTTAATATAAATACAATGTATAAAATATCTAAAACCATTTGCAAATTTTACCTAAATAGCGAGCACAATAAAAAACCCTTTTATTTGGGGTTAAATTTTTATAGTTAGCTAGAACAAAAAAGGGTATTTAGGAATGGAGGTCTGCCTGAGTAGCTGCCTGGAATTTTAACTTCGCCAAGAAGATTTTTCTATAAGGACTGTAATTAGTAGCCTTCGCATGCATGTGATTCCAGTTCTTTGTATGATCATGCTATTTGTATCCTAAAACGTAATTAATATGCTTGGAACATGAGATAACTCTTAGTAAAAAGAAATAATTGATTTTTCTTTAAATTAAATTTGTAATTTAAAAGATCTATGATATTGATATTTTTATGGAGAGACCTTGTTGATTGGGGGGTGTTATTAACAAAGCTTTACAAAAGTTTATGTAAGTTATCACTATCATAATTTACTTATTCGCCTAAACTTATAAAATTTACTTTCTTGCTTATAAAAAATGTGCAATGAACTTTTTTGATTTTTAGTATAAAACTCAAAACAAGTAATAGAAATTAATATTAATTTTATTTTCTTTAATGGGAAATTGCAGGTTCATTCAAAATCCATGCTAATTATAAATATAAGAAACAGATGATGATTTGTATGAGGTCTTGGCTACATTAAAAAATTGTGATTAATAAATTTTCGCCTTCCTTTTTGCAATGTTGAAAAAAGAACAGATTCAAGACTCTTCTAAATTTCTTTTAATAAACAAGTAAAAGATAGAGGCATAATATTTATAACATACAGAAAATATTTAATAAATAGAGAAAGAATGTGGGAGAAATTAAATAAGGAAAATTACTAATGTTCTTTAAAAAATAAAAAATCATGATTTTAATAAAGAAAATTACTCTGAAGAGGAATACAAAACATTGAAAGATGATCTGATCACAAATATATCAAATAATATGATCATCATTGAATTTCTAAAATTTTTAGTCCATCTTACTGCCTTAGATGAGAGGTACATTAAGTGCGGATCAAATTCTCTTCATTTATTAGTTAAAATGAAAGTTGATTTGAAGGAATCATCTTTTAAGAATATAAGAATTAGAAATACTTCCTTAATTGGAGCTAAATTGGTAAGCTGCAACTTAAGTGGATCTGAATTTGATAATGTCATTATTAGTGGAGTTAATTTGAATTAAGCCTAATTATTTAATTGTAAGTGGAGGGGCTTAAGCATAAATGAGGGAATTAAGTTGAATTGTCATAGCTATAAGGTCATGTAAGTTTGCTTTTCTCCAGATAGCTAGCTATTAGCTTCTTGCAGCGAAAATATATCCATTCATTTTTTGAATGTGAAAACAAGGAAAATAAAGTACATAATCAGAGGAGAGAGAGAACTATCATCATTAAGCTTCTCACCTAATAATACTATATTAGCTTTTAGTTCCGGAATATTTGTGTATTTATGGAATATGAATACAGGAAAATAAATATCTAAATTAATTGGTCATTCTAGTTATGTTTCTTCAGTCAATTTCTCTCCTGATGGTACTAAATTAGCATCTGGTAGTTAGGATTAGTCGATCCATTTATGGGATGTTAAGACAAGAGAATAATAAGCCAAATTAGATGGTCATTAAAGGGAAGTTAATTCAATTTGTTACTCTCCTGATGGTACTACATTAGCATCTGGTAGTAAGGATTGGTCTATACGTTTATGGGATGTTAAGACAGGATAATCAAAAGCAAAATTAGATGGTCATTCATCAGCAGTTGATTCAATTTGTTACTCTCCTGATGGTACTACATTAGCATCTGGTAGTCTCGATTGGTCGATCCGTTTATGGGATGTTAAGACAGGATTATAAAAAGCAAAATTAGATGGTCATGAAAAGGGAATCATATCAGTCAATTTCTCTCCTGAAGGTACGACATTAGCATCTGGTAGTTTTGATAAGTCGATCCGTTTATGGGATGTTAGGACAGGATAATAAAAAGCCTAATTAGATGGTCATTTAGGATCTGTATGGTCAGTCAATTTCTCTCCTGATGGTACTAAATTAGCATCTGGTAGTTATGATAAGTCGATCCGTTTATGGGATGTTAAGACAGTATAATAAAAAGCTGAAGTAGATGGTCATTCAGGAGCAGTATGGTCAGTCGATTTCTCTCCTGATGGTACTATATTAGCATCTGGTAGTTATGATAAGTCTATCCGTTTATGGGATGTTAAAACAGGATAATAAAAAACCAAATTAGATGGACATTCTGAAACTGTTTATTCAGTTAATTTTTCTCCTGATGGTACTACAATAGCATCTGGAAGTTATGATTAGTCTATCCGCTTATGGGATGTTAAGACAGGATCATAAAAAGCCAAATTAGATGGTCATGAAAATGGAATCATATCAGTCAATTTCTCTCCTGAAGGTACGACATTAGCATCTGGTAGTTTTGATAAGTCGATCCGTTTATGGGATGTTAGGACAGGATAATAAAAAGCCTAATTAGATGGTCATTTAGGAGCTGTATGGTCAGTCAATTTCTCTCCTGATGGTACTTTATTAGCATCTGGTAGTTATGATAAGTCTATCCGTTTATGGGATGTTAAAACAGGATATTAAAAAGTCAAAATAGATGGTCATTCAGAAGCTGTATAGTCAGTCAATTTCTCTCCTGATGGTGCTACATTAGCATCTGGTAGTTCAGATAACTCTATCAAATTATGGAATGTCAAGACAGGATACGAGAAAGCCAGATTTATCGGTCATTCAGATTACGTCATGTCAGTCAAGTTCTCTTCTGATGGCACTACATTAGCATCTGGTAGTTATGATTAATCTATCCGTTTATGGGATGTTAAGACAGGAGTATAAAAAACATAATTAGAAAGCCATTCAGGTTATGTTTATTCAGTCAATTTCTCTCCTGATGGTACTACATTAGCATCTGGTAGTCACGATTAGTCTATCCGTTTATGGGGTGTTAGGAAAGGATAAAAAAAGGCCTTATTCGATGGTCATTAATCAGGTGTTTTTTCAGTCAATTTCTCTCCTGATGGTGGTACATTAGCATCTGGTAGTACAGATATATCTATCAGATTATGGAATGTCAAGACAGGATAATAAAAAGCAAAATTATCTGGTCATTCTAGTTATGTTTCTTCAGTCAATTTCTCTCCTGATGGTACTATATTAGCATCTGGTAGTTATGATTAGTCTATATGTTTATGGGATGTTAAGACAGAATAATAAAAGGCCAAATTATATGGTCATTCATCAGTTGTTACTTCGGTCAATTTCTCTTTTGATGGTACTACATTGGCATCTGGTAGTTATGATTAGTCTATACGATTTTGGGATGTTAAGACAGGAAAATAAAAAGCAAAATTAGAAGGTCATGAAAATGGAATATTATCTGTCAATTTCTCTCCGGATGGTGCTACATTAGCATCTGGTAGTTATGATTAGTCTATACGTTTATGGGATGTTAAAACAGGATAATAAAAAACCAAATTAGATGGACATTCTGAAACTGTTTATTCAGTTAATTTTTCTCCTGATGGTACTACAATAGCATCTGGAAGTTATGATTAGTCTATCCGCTTATGGGATGTTAAGACAGGATCATAAAAAGCCAAATTAGATGGTCATGAAAATGGAATCATATCAGTCAATTTCTCTCCTGAAGGTACGACATTAGCATCTGGTAGTTTTGATAAGTCGATCCGTTTATGGGATGTTAGGACAGGATAATAAAAAGCCTAATTAGATGGTCATTTAGGAGCTGTATGGTCAGTCAATTTCTCTCCTGATGGTACTTTATTAGCATCTGGTAGTTATGATAAGTCTATCCGTTTATGGGATGTTAAAACAGGATATTAAAAAGTCAAAATAGATGGTCATTCAGAAGCTGTATAGTCAGTCAATTTCTCTCCTGATGGTGCTACATTAGCATCTGGTAGTTCAGATAACTCTATCAAATTATGGAATGTCAAGACAGGATACGAGAAAGCCAGATTTATCGGTCATTCAGATTACGTCATGTCAGTCAAGTTCTCTTCTGATGGCACTACATTAGCATCTGGTAGTTATGATTAATCTATCCGTTTATGGGATGTTAAGACAGGAGTATAAAAAACATAATTAGAAAGCCATTCAGGTTATGTTTATTCAGTCAATTTCTCTCCTGATGGTACTACATTAGCATCTGGTAGTCACGATTAGTCTATCCGTTTATGGGGTGTTAGGAAAGGATAAAAAAAGGCCTTATTCGATGGTCATTAATCAGGTGTTTTTTCAGTCAATTTCTCTCCTGATGGTGGTACATTAGCATCTGGTAGTACAGATATATCTATCAGATTATGGAATGTCAAGACAGGATAATAAAAAGCAAAATTATCTGGTCATTCTAGTTATGTTTCTTCAGTCAATTTCTCTCCTGATGGTACTATATTAGCATCTGGTAGTTATGATTAGTCTATATGTTTATGGGATGTTAAGACAGAATAATAAAAGGCCAAATTATATGGTCATTCATCAGTTGTTACTTCGGTCAATTTCTCTTTTGATGGTACTACATTGGCATCTGGTAGTTATGATTAGTCTATACGATTTTGGGATGTTAAGACAGGAAAATAAAAAGCAAAATTAGAAGGTCATGAAAATGGAATATTATCTGTCAATTTCTCTCCGGATGGTGCTACATTAGCATCTGGTAGTTATGATTAGTCTATACGTTTATGGGATGTTAAAACAGGATAATAAAAAACCAAATTAGATGGTCATTTAGGAGCTGTATGGTCAGTCAATTTCTCTCCTGATGGTACTATATTAGCTTCTGGTAGTTATGATAAGTCTATCCGTTTATGGGATGTTAAGACTGGATAATAAAAAGCATAATTAGATGGTCATTAAAGTTATGTTTTTACAGTTAATTTCTCTCCTGATGGTACTACGTTAGCATCTGGTAGTTTTGATAAGTCTATCCGTTTATGGGATGTTAGGACAGGATAATAAAAAACACAATTTGATAATTATTCAGGTTACGTTTATTAAGTCAATTTCTCTCCTGATGGTATTACATTAGCATCTGGTGGTTATGGGGAGTCTATCAGTTTATGGGATGTTTTAATTGGATCATCAATCTTATCTTCAGAAAATCGTTAAAAAGACATTCTTACATATTTTTAACCTCTCATAAACAGTACCATTGAGAATGGTATTTATTCATTATAATTAAGCTTCCTCTTTTAATACTCTCCTTCTGATCTCAAAGTAGCTAGTATTATAAACGTAAGGAGCTCTTATTTTTAAAGCAGAATTTGTAACTTAACAAAGAGTTGATCTAAAATCATTATTCATATCCAAAGGAAGTTATATTTTAGAAAACCTATTTAGGTTATAAAGACAATGAAAATTGATTATTATTAAGAATTATATAATACAATAATCCATTATCATTAAAGCATAATTTTTAATTTTTTGAACAAGGTCAAATAATTTTATTACTTCTCTCGCCTCTTTTTACCCCTTGTAAAAAATAACAAATGGTCAAAAAAAAATTGATGATGCTTTTTGTGTTTGTTTTAAAATGAGTTTATTGCGGTATTTAGGATAAAGTTTGTAACTCAAATTGGAGTTTGGATAGTAAGAGATGAAAAATTAATTAATTAGTTTTACGTTTTACAAGGAGGAGAGTAAGAGGCTATAAATTAGTGAGCTGAAAGAGAATGATGAGTTCACTTCAGAACTATTTTCAGCCCTATAGAAGCACATTTTAGCACACTTGCCCAAAGTCACAAATTAGATTCATGATGGTTGAAAATATGGGTTCTTTTCCTAAGGCATAATTAGAGTAGTAAGGCAAGTAATCAAGAGTAGTTATCTACAAATATCTTACATATCTTTTTCATGCTAGAAGGTATTTCAATTAAAGCTACACAATTTTACTCTATTAACTATATTATTTCACATATGATATTGCCTTTTTTTCATTTGCTCAAATACTAAAAAATCACAATTCATGATTTATGAAGATTTATTTACAGTTATTACTATTTTAATAATAATATTTTTCAAAAAGTAAAAGAAACTCACACTTTCCATTTTTATTATTTGATATTTTCTTTTTACAAATATGCTAGGGTACTAAGAGTGTAAGGGCAAGTTAAATTTGTCTTCATGATTTGGATCAATAGCTAGAAGTATAAAATGTACTCCATATTTATATAGAAATCCTACATTACAATCAATGATGCCATTGCTTCTTTTGAATATTTACGTTTGTAACCAACAGAGCCAGTGTAACTAATTCATGAACAAATACCATAAACGAACCCTTTCAAAATAAAACTTAAGTTGGAAGACATTATCATTCATTAAGTGAATGAGATTCAACAACATTAGAAATTAGAAACAAAAGTGTTACAGGTAAAAGAGGGAGAACAAGAAATCGTACAAGCTTATATCAAAAAGGAAGATTTGTATGAAATATTGATTTAGATTAACAATATTGACGTTTGATGAGATATTGGAAAGGCTCTGGTAAGACATGATAACAGATTATTTTAATATCTACCTAGTAGAGCAATTAAGCATAATCTATGTTGAAGTTTGTTAATGATCTTCTCAAAAATCTAAGTGAACTTGACTTTAATTTAAAGAATACTCAAAGGAAGAATTTGAATAAATTAGAAAGGGTTTGATAACAAGATAGGGTTAATTTTGGAATTCTATGTACAATTGACAACCATAATGAGAAATTTATCTAATTTGGATAAATTCACTCAATTTATTAGTCGAAATTAAGGTGGATTTGAGAGAATAAATTTTGAGAATCTAAGGAGTAGAGGCACTTCTTTAGTTGATGGAAATTTTGTAAAATGAAGATTATGGACCAGAATTTGATAATGTGGATATGAGTGTATTGAACTAGAATGAAGCTTAATTTTTCAATTTTAAAGGCGTATAATTCTATAAATTAATAATACAAAAAAGCAAACCATATTTATAGAAATTTTGAATTTTAGTCATAATAATGATATTGATTTTGAATACACAAAGCTTTTATTTAAACCTCTTTTTTTATTTATTTTAATAATTCTTGTATTTTATCTATTTTATTTAATTTTAGTATTGGCATATTAATAAAAATGTTACCCAATCAATATTATGTAATAGGCTTTATTTTTGTTTGGGAAATTTTTTTAATTAGGTTTTATCGCCACACCTCATTACTATATCTTAAAGAGTATATCATAAGGTCGTATCAACCATTTGCAAGAACTTTATACATCTGAACAGACTTTACATGATACACTAGAGGCAACGATTTAAATGGTTCTAAATATTTCCCATCAGTATTACTGCTTAGGAAGAATTCAGACAGCTAGATCAAAGTCAATTAATTTAAGGCAGGGTGATTATGTAACAACTGGCAGATTATTTTGTGTTGAATGCCTGACCGTCTCTAAATCAATTAGCATTTCAATATTAATCACATAAGTAATTCTAACAACATTTTTTGTTTAAATTAACAGTATGCTCAACTATTTTAACTTGTAGTATATGCGATAACCTGCATTAAATTTATCGAAATGTTATTCTGATTCTATTAGGTCGAACATTTAGGTACTAAAAGAGGAATAAACATTGGTCAAAATATGTTGAAAAATAATTTGAACATCAGGACATCACTTTCAAAATACCCTACAGCATCTAATGTATAAGTTGAATCCCTTATTATTCTCTCAAGAAGAGCTTTAATAGGCCTGATTTCTTGCGTGTGGTTTTCAAATCACTTCAAGTTAGAGTTTTCGACTCAATTAATTCTATGTCTTGAATTGCGGTTGGCTGTGTTGTTTTCAAATTTTTCATCCAATATGAAAAATTCAAGTTACTCTATTGCAAGATGGCAGCTATCCGAACATTGCTCATAAGAATATCAATTATGGAAGAACACACTTGTTTCCTGATATCAACTTGGATTGAAAATGGTTAGCATTAATTCTTCCCATTATAAACGAGTCAGAACTGCAATCTGTAGACCAAGTAGTTCGAATCACAATTTAATGTCCTCCAATCTAATCATCAGCACATAATCTACAGAAGGTAGAGCTTACACAACTGCTTACAAGATTATTCAATCTATTATGGGTGCGTAGAAAGAGGATGTAATAAAATGCTTCTCTTTGGCTTTTAGTCATAAATGCAATAAAATTTTGGACATACCCTTATCAGTATCATTTTTTATATAATTGAATTCAGTGTTCAGGTATATGTAACCAAAAATAAGAATCAATCCGATTAAATTAAAGGAGTTAAAAAATACAACTTTTACTTGCTTTACTTTTAGCTCTAATCTCCAAGCAATTAATTTCAACATTTCAAGCACGATTTGGCTACAATAATTTTAATTTTATGATAACTGCTATACTATTAACTAGCTCACTAAGATTCTAATTGTTACAATTACTATCAGAAAAGCAAGCTCAACTTGAACAATTCGACAGTAAGGAAAAAGCATCGTAATAACCACATTTTTTGACTTTAAATGAAGATGATCAATAAAGTCATGAAGAAAATTTGAGAGGTTTCATCAATATATCTAGAGATACTTTTCAACAATTATCGTATTATTATGCGAGGTCCTATATTTTTGTCTCTTAAAAAAAATAATCAGAATTAATTAATGTAGTTAATAGTTAATAAACTTATTAATAACCTCAAAACTTAAAATTACTACTCTCTGATTGCAAATAATAATGGTTTACGTGATATTTGATAATTGGAATAGTTTTTAGGAGTAGAACTGTCTTTTGATGATGATTGTCTCCTTTTTTGAAGACGGAGTAAATCTTTTCAAACATCCAGTAAGTCTAACATTGATTTTTTAAATTTAGACCTACTTATATCATCAGTATCAGTTTTTTCACTATTTACATTGCATCCAACTGAAGATACATATGGAGCGCATGTTCTAACCAGTTTGAATTTTATAATCATTTTGGCAACTTTTGTTGTACTAGGAAAAAAGATAAAACATGGTTTATCGTGAACTATACTATTAGAGCAATAAAGTGTTTCAATCATGTAGAAGCATTGCCAGCAGATTATGTTGTACAATAATCGAAATATTTATATAAGCATTAGGGGTTGCAAATTATTAACAAATAATATGATTCAATAAAAATCAAAACAATGGGAACTTAAATTTGATACATCATATTCATTGTTCTACTTGGGCTATTCTAAAATGTTCTACTTTTAAAACTTGAAATTTTGGTAAACATGAACAGCATAATTTATGACCAATGAACACTTACCAAGAGTTCATATGAATAGCTGGGTTTGATTCAAATTTTAAGTCTAATTTCAATCCATATTAAATTAATGTTTTTGGGATATTAGTTCTAAAATGTATTATATTTTAAAGATAAATGTGATGCTTTAGAAAAAAAACAGTTAAATTAGACATAATCTGAATTATATTATTTATTAGACGTTAGCAACAATGAAAGGCGTAAGCGTTCTAATCAAAATTCTATTGACAGGATTTTATTAGATAAAATAAAAGTGCTGCTGTGAATTTTATCGTTTATAGGGGGAATTCTGAAATATTTACTAACTTTACTTCATATGCCATGCCGATGGAAATACATGTGACTTGCATTCCAGCTTTAATAGAACGCTTCTTGTTTTAATACATAATTCCACTGTTTTATATTTGGATGGTTATTTCTAGATTTTAATTATTTCTTGATTTTTTTTCTCACGCTCCCAAAATCCAAAATTTTATTCTCCATTTCTGAGTAAAATTAGTCTTGTGTTCAATGTACCGATTCTTTAAGAAGCCATTCATCCAACTCAAAGTACAAAAAGACTTGATAGCTGCTTGATGTTAAGTATATATAATAAAAGCTCAACCACTCTCAATGCTTGGCATACAGCTGGTTATATCTCATTAATATCTTTGTCATGTTTCAATTTGGTTTGGATATCTTTAAGGCTACGGTAACACTTGACCCAATGATTTTTGGGTTATTCCTAAGATTTTATTCCTTTTACCAGCAATTCTAATGATTTAGTAGTTCCGGAAAAAATCAGTTGCTCGAATTTTATCTGTTTAAATTGAAATCACTATACCACAGGTATAGTTTGATTGATACTATTGAGATAGCAGCCTTGTTTGTTGCAAAATTTTTAAACATGTGTTTATACTCCAAACTGCTGCGTTTATTGATAAAATTTAGCAGAATTACACCGGCTTCCAACTAGTTATATATTTTTTTGATAACAAAACCTTTATCAAAATCAATTATATAACCCAGAAAATTAGTGGTATTGAAATGGAGCCCCCTTATGTTCAATAAACCTTGTTATTGGGTTAATGCATATAAGTCAATCTGTGTTCCTTGAAATTTAACATATGGTATAAACTGAGTTGCATGTTCTTAGGATTTTTCAATCTCCTAGATTACACCAAAGATATAGATCAAGATGTTCTGTGTGTAATACACTGCTTGATTTTTGTTGGACATGTTGAAGGCTTCTGTCAATGCTACCCCATAATTCATATTTTTTTTCAAGACTCTTGGAATGCCTTTCTAATTAATGCGTAACCTCATAGGCTGATTATTTTTAGTAAAGCGATGCACTACAAAGCTTTGATTCTAATTTCCAATTAGTTAAGTTTCTCAAGATCGTTTCATAATTTATCAAGAAGACCCTTAACTAATTTTAGACTCCCATTATCAAATCTTTCATGAACATAAACTTGTCTAAAATGAAACTTTGAGCTCCACTTTTGTACTAATAGTTAACATATTATATGAGATGATGGTGACTATAACTAGTTTCATTCTTGTGCTAATAATAAGACATACATCTGATATTCCTATTCTAAAGTGTGCATCTTCAAGTGCATGCTGTCATTAGTTAAAGCGCGCATTTATATTCTGACTTTAAGAATGCACTAAATGAGTTCGAATTAAAAATGCAAATCGCTCTAATATAATTATAATTCTGGATCAAAACAATCCATTTTATATGTATATACCAATTACAAAAATTCCAACCTTTCTATTTTTAATCCAAAGACAAACAATTGTGCAATATTTATTTTTTATACAGTAAATAATCTACAAATTGCAGCCCTGGCATCTTTTAGCAAAAATGTTAATCAACATAAGGTGAAACTCTGTCTCAGCAATATTAAGACAAAAGCACTATAGAAATGCTATCACTGATAAATTATTTGCTGATGTCTTGCGTTCACTAGATTCAAACTTTATAATGGAGGTTGCACCCTTGCATCAATAAACAGCTCTTAATTCATTGAAACTTGCCAAAAACAAGCAACCTTACATTCAATCACTTCATAGGCTAATTCTTTTGATGAATAAGTAAACTTCATCAGGTTGGATTTATAATGAAATATCTGTTTTATTTTGTTCAGCCAAAATCTAGTGCTTAACTAACGTGAGTCTTGAAAACTGCAGATTATATCTTGTGAAATATGCAAT